GGCTGCAATTCCACCACTGCAGTCAATGGTTTTCCAACCTTCTGGCATCGGTCACATTCCAAAACCTTGAAAACATGCATGAGATTATTAAGAATTTTTGTCAGCTTTATTAGAAAATATTCAGTCGGTTTATAAAAAAAAACAAAAAAAAAAAAACATACCCAATTCTTTATGTCAACAGACATCCCATGCCAGTAAAACCTGGTAGAGATCGCTGACATAGTTTTTAGGATGCCTGTGTGCCCTCCCATTGGGGATGAATGAAACTCATTGAAGAGTCTCCTGGCTTCCTCCCTGGTTTTGACAACCTTCCTATTGCCAACCCAGAGGTCTTCATCTGTCAATAATATATTACTTTAATGCATATCTTTATTATCACCATATACTGCATTCATCTAAATATCATGCATCATATACATGTGATACTAACCCCTTAATCTGAATTTGGAAGCATATCTTCTGAGGTTTTGTCTCTGACCCTTTTCATAACCTGAAGGGTATATGCCTTCAGTCAAGAGAGCATGTACCTCTTCCCATTTATTTTCCATTTCTGTAAAGCAAAGGTTAAAATGTTCAAGGCATAATCACGACATGACTTTCAGCACTAAAAAATTAAGTAATTCCGTTTTTATTGGTTCATACGTTTCATTACGTTTCACATATAATGTATCTATAGCCAGGGTCCAAGAGCAGTATTAGATTGTTAATGCAAACACTATGCTCGGATCAGTAGAAATACTGTTCACTTTCTCGTGAGTAAAAACGTGTACATGAAATAGAAATCATTTATTTTTATTAACAGATAATAAGAATACGATTTTACATGTTTCAGAATGAAAGATGAACAGTTATCATAGAGACGTAAATTGTTATGCAAACTATGGATACTGCTAAACCTAAGTTAATTTCGCACACAGCCAAGTTTTAAAGCAGCGTGAAAATCACGCGGATGCTTTCAAACTGCACATGCACATGGTAAGTCGAAAATGTATGACACTCAAACACGCGCGCACACACACACACACACACACACACACATAACTAAAAATGCGATAAAACTAACCTCGTTTCTTCTTCGAAAAGCAGAGACTCGAAAGCAGCAGATATTTATGGGCGTGTGTTAAATAGCGAACGAGCATGCGCAGTTAACTCGGGTAGGACGTTTTCATGGGTAGGAAAGAATTTCAGAACACCGGCCCTATATCCTAATATTGAAAATAATTTAGACAAATAAACAGAAGGCTCACTTTTCAAAACAATAAAGGTTTTATTATATGACTGACAACGAATACAACTGTTAAGTATCAAGTGCTCCAGTGAGTTCTGAAAGTTTAAACAAAAAAAAAAACAAACCAAAAAAAAAGTGGAAAAGTTGTTCTATTTCGGAGAAGTTCGTTAAGTCTCTCTTATCAGCTTCCAGTCACAAACTGCGGGGTTGAATCTCCGACCAACAGCATCTGAAAGTGCTTGACGAAGGTTGTTGGGTAGTGCATTTTTCCTCCTGGAGCCGTCAAAATTAACAGAACCTGCCCAGTTCTGATAAAGGTTGAGAGGAATTAACATTCTAAACAAAAGAACAGCGAAACGATCTGCCCTTGGTTTCCCGTCTGGTCCTGTTGAGTCCAGATACAGTTTATTCTCGGTCTCTACTGAAACATGATTTAAAAGTACATCTGGAAGGATTACCCCCTGCATGAGAGACCGGCGAATATGATGATGGTGATGAGAACGGGAGGTGTTTCTTGGTGTTTCAGGCAAACTCAAATGGAATGGTGTCATCACGGAAGGATGAGAAAATGCTGAATAATCTTGATTCGGCGAATTTTCACTAAGGAGCATCGAATTAGTCACCACTGGGTTGTTGGTTAATCCTACAGATGCTGAGCCCACTAACGAATGATCTGGACTGGTTTGTAGGTTGAGTCTGGACAGTTAATGGTGTAGAGGCTGAAGAAGGAACACCAAAATCAGCATTACCCAGGTGCGCTGACAGCGAATGGTCTTCGTGAGCAGACTGAGGAGATGACCACATCTCAAAAGACTGTTGGCAGTCCATCTGAGTATCCACAGACGTTGAAGGAACAACGGATGGATCTGTGGATGTGGATTGATCCGCTGTCGGAGGATGAGTTTTCTCACAGAAATGCGCCTCCAACAAACCAATCCTTGCCCCTAAATTCAGAAGCCTTCTTGTGAATTGTGATATCTGTTCCTTGGAAACAGTGACTGCAGCAGAACATCTACGTTCAATTAGAACAGCCTGTAGATGGTAACATGTTCACACCGCAGACAGGCATATGAAGCTATATTGCACATGGCGCTGCTTGCGTAATAATAAATTGGCAAATACCCACTGATTTTTCTTTTACAAGCCGGGTAGTCCCTGTTTTTTATTTTTGGTCTGTGGGCTCTGCTTGTTCCCTTTGCCAGAATTCTATTGAGACAATATGTATGATGGTTAGCACACAACAAACAGCTGAATGNCACATAACCTGCTTTCTGGAATACCCCCCAGGTCACACTAAATCAGTGAAGTAATTTGTCTGGGTACTTTGTCCACAGGTGCGGTCCAATCAGACTTAAGCATGAAGGGAAGAGGGTTTGTGTCTGTGCGGTTTTGGAAGTAGGCCTCCAGTTTGATCCTTCTGTGGTACTGTTGCAGGTCCCACCTTGCCTGCATTATCTGGCGCTTTGCACCACCGTGTAACACCGGGATGAAGGTTAGGCCCCTGTCAAGCAAGGTAAGCTGGGAAGGGGTGATCTGGAAGGTTTAAGATAAAATCATGATATTTCTACTCTACTGCCACTGCAGGCTCTTGGGGAAATTTTATTTAAATGCTCCAGCCAGTGTTTGAGCATGTTATTTGCCATCTCACATGTCCAGTGTACAGGGTCAATGCCTGTATTAAATTTAGATCGGGGAAGAGCCGGAATGTTCTTCAAGTTAGCGATGATATAATCATTTAAAATGTTAAGTTGTGCCTGCTCCTTTTGTGGGAGCAGTGTTGAATAATTAATCTCCGAGACCCAAATCTGTGAAAGGGGAAATTTTTGTTTCTCTGTTCTCAACGCTGCCTGCATTTGTTTGAAGGCAGTGTCCTTGGCACTCTGTGCTCGATTATTAATGCCAAGGGATAGTATCACATGTTCCACCCGCATTGAGCCAGTGGTTTTGCCTATGACGGTCTCTATATTTTAAAATGTGGCACCTGGGTAGCCTTCAATTTGGAGATCCTTATTAATGTAAGTTTCGATCCTGGAAAAGTTATAGCCCCCCAGAAGCAACCATTTTTTATGTACATCCAAATGCCATTTTATCTGTTTGTGGGATGTATGTGGGTGTATGTTAGGTTTAAGCCCAGGAGAATGCTGTTGTGCGCTAGACAATGCCGCCACGGTAGGTACAATACTCAGTCGGGACTGGGTAGCCAGTCTCAGGCTGACAACCTTATCCGGGCTCAGTGTTGTTGTTTGTTGTGTGTTAGGAGGACTGGGTGTCTCCTCATCCCCGTGCAAATCCACCAGGATCAGGTCCTGTTCCTGTGCCTCACAGGGAGCAGCCTGCTCCCCCTGAGGTGAACCACGTGGGGTAAGTTGTTCCTGTGGGTGGTCATCTATAATGTGTCAAAATGGTGTGGAGGCAGCCACAGCCTCTAGTAGGAGATCCAGGGGATCCTCTGTCTCTATTTCTCTATAGGGGGACCAATCGGGCCTCGGATCAGTCATGGTGGAGGCCGTTCTAGTATCCCTGACTCTGACTGGACTACGTAGGGAGGCTTGGGACTGCGCATCTGCCAACCTATGGACTTGAGCCTGGATCTCCCTCAGGTATGTAGGTCTGATCACCATGGGAGAGCTATGGTGTGGGTCAGTAGTACTCTGCTGCTCCTCACGCCCCACCCCAGGGGCAGCTGCAGGCACTGAAACCTGCCACTGGCTCTGCAGCAACGCGTGGGCCTCATGCAGCATTTTGTCCTTTAGCCTATTTCCAATGTGTCCCTTTGCCCAGTTGATGGCGACATTGTAGCAGTCTTCCCAGCCCCGGGGAGAGAGCTGCTGGAGCTCAGCTAATTTTTCCTTTAATGTGTCCTCATAATGTTGTCTGAGTATTAGAATGGTGGTGTAAGCCCAGTTCCTGGCATTTCCCTCCACTAGGGCCTGGGCTGTGGGGGTTGGCAATGCAGGCCTGATGATCTCTGCCAGGAGCTGCTGTAGTTTTGTGGTGGATGGAGGTTGGTCCTTCTGTATACTGTTCTTGTGGTGCACCAGTTTGATAATGTTGAAGATGGCCCGAGTTGTTTGCAACAACTCTGGGTCCTCTTCGTACTGGGGCTTATCATTTTGTTTATTATTATTATTATTAAATGGTTCTCTGTTTCAGGGTGCTAAACCCTGAGGGCTGGTGCCATGCCCTATCCCTAGGGCCTTGTCTAGGCGCATTCATGAAGGAAGTTGTTTTTGCGGGCTCCCATTGGGCCCGCGGTTCAATAAATTGTAGTGTAGTAGACCCTTGGTGGGAATTATTGCGGTAAATGGGACGTGGTCCTCTATATATGCTGTTTTTGACCGCATCCACATAGGTAAAGACATCTTGTCTACGTGCAGGGTAATCCAAATATCGGCCTGGACGAGGAGCAGATCGGTCTCTGCAACGTGTGGCAGGCCCGCGTCTGCGCGAGACCACCATCCAGCCATCCCATTGTGGGGTTGTCATTATCAAGCTGAAGAGGATATCAATAAAGTAATGGTAAGGTAAGTATGGTTGTGATACAGGTAAGGTAATGCAGGTAGGTAAAGGTTTGACTTGTAAATTTAATTATTTTGAATGCAAAAAAAAAAAAAGTTATAAAAAGTAAAAAATATGTATTTATTTGGCCAAAATGCTATTTGGCTAAAATGCTATTGGACCTTCTTCAGGTAGGCTTGTTTAAAAAACAGACAAAAGGTAGTTTTTTAAAAAAAAGTTTTGCTCACTGAGCTTTAAAAAAAAAAAAAAATCTTTTATATAGAAATATATATGAACTAAATAAGTGGTAGACAAAGCAAGTAGTATACTGAAAGACTGTGAGAATAGGCTTTAATATGCCAGCAGGATAAGATGCTGTCTCTGTATAGAGCAACAAGCATTCAAGTAGATGGCAGTTGGAGCTGGCCTCTTTTAAAAGGTAAGGGGGCGGGGCTTAGCCATTTTTTTTTTCAAATAGAGCCAACCAGGGCCTTAGAAAAGTAAAATTAAATATAATACTGTTTTAAAATAATCAGAAGTAAGCAGAATATAATTAAAATCTTACCAGCAATTTATTTTTACAGGATAAAATTAAAGTTAAGCTTTATTATGGCAATATGAGCCTTTTACAAGCTTTGTATATGTTTTATCAAGGCATTTCTTGTAGTCAATTTTATGCATTTATGTATTAAATTGTGATTTAATTTGTTTTGATTGTTGTTGATTGTATATTTTTTTCAGGTTGCAAGGGAGGCTGAGTGAAAGGAGAGGAGGCAAAGGACACGCACGGCATGAGGCACGGGCCGGTTAGGGGAAAATGAAAGTCTGCAGGTAGGGGTTAGGGTTATGGTTAGGGGGTTAGGGTTATGGTTAAGGTTACTGTTAGGGTTAGGGAAAGGACTTGGGGGCTGAAATTGGATTTAGGGTTAGGGTTTTGGTTTGGGGGCAGGTTGTACGGTTATTGTGGTCAGGAGTTGGGACTGAGGTAGGGGGCAGCGGTTTACGGTTATGGACTGGAGGTGGGTTAGTGGTTAGATTAAGGTTACGGCTGTGGTGTGGATAAAGGGTTAAGTTTGCAGTTAGGGCTGTGGTATGGGTCAGGGGTTAAGTTTATGGTTAGGACTTAGATTTATGGTTATGGCTGTGATATGGGTAAGGGGTTATGTTTTCGGTAGAGGTGTGGTTAAGGTTATGGCTGTGGAAGAGGTCATCGGTTATGGCTGTGGTAGCGGTTTGGGTAAGGTTATGGCTGTGGTAGTGGTCAGAGGTTAAGCTTGTGGTTAGGGCTGTGGTTAAGGTTATGGCTGTGGAAGGGGTCAGGGATTATGTTTGTGGTTACGGTTTAGGTTATGGTTATGGCTGTGGTAAGGGGCAGGGGTTATGTTTTAAGGTTATGGCTGTGGTTATGGTTAGGGCTATGGTAGAGGTTTGTGGTTACGGTTATGGTTAGTGGTTATGGTTACTGTTATAATTGTGGTCAGGGAAAGAGGTTTTAAGGTTACGATAAGGGCTATGGTTTGGGGCAGGGGATTTATGGTTAGGGCAGGGGGTTTGTGATTATGGTTAAGGCTGGGATAGGGGTTTAGGGTTAGGGAATGACCCCAGGAAGGCACTAGCCTACCTCACACCATCTGGTGCCCACCCCTATACATCACATCCCCTGGCATTGCTGCCAAACACATATGGCTTTGGTTTTGCCCACTAGTCCGCAAATAATCCATATTACCTTTTCCCTTTTCTAGGGCTTTTAAATGTGTCTCCAGGACTTTAGGTAAGTATATAGGACACTTTAGTAATTAAATGTTGCCAACTAGGCCTTCAAATATTGCCAACTATGCTTTTAAATCCCCACTATGGCTTAATACATCTCCAGGACATTTTGAAAAACAACAAAGAACAATCCATCCAGTATGCCATTGAAGTAGGCCTCACTAGGCCTTAAATATGCCTTACTAGGCCTCAAATATCCCCACTATGGTTTAGAATCTGCCCACTGGGCCTTATAGATCGCGGAACATTTCAAGTCTCAACGCGTTTCGGGCTGCCTTGCCCTCATCAGGAAACTGGCAAAAACATTATCAAGGGGGTTACGATTAGGATTATGGTTATGGGTAAGTAAAGGTTACACATGGGGGTTATTTTGTGGTTAGGGCTGAGGATGGGGGTAAGGGTTTGGAAATTGTGGTATGGTTATAGTGGGGGATAGGTAAGGATTACGGGTAGGATTTGTGGTTTGGGGAAACGGTTAAGTTTAGGGGCTGGAGGTTGGTTGGGGGTTAGGACAGGGCCTAGGGTTGCAGTTAGGTTTTAAGGTTAAGGTTTGTAGTGTTTTATGGTTAGGGAAGTGGTTTGTGGTTATGGTTTGTAGTGTTTTATGGTTATGGAAGGGGTTTGTGGTTATGGTTAAGTTTAGGGACCGGAGGGTTACGGTTAGGGTTAAATGTCCTGACTCCCGTTTCCAGGAGACAGTCCTGCACCCCCGCTCCCAGGGATACAGCTGTGCACGGGCCTGAATGGCCCCATCCAGCATCCACCCGCTTACACCCCACATACCCCCCCTGGATATGATGACTAATGACTAATTGTTATTTTTTGTTTGTTCTTATTTTCCAGGAGAAGATGGCGATGTAGAGACCATGAAGAGGATCCAGGGACCAAGCAGCCAACCCGGAGGAAGAGGAAGACGACGGAGGAGCACACAGGTAGGTAATTGCCAGTAATAGACCTTTAATTAGGTTCTGGCCCTTTGTAATTATATTCTTTATTTCCTTTATATGATGGATTAGCACCCCCCTGTGTGGAATCCCCGCAATCTCCGGTGTCCCCCAGAGGCACCTCCCAGCCTCCAGGACCCCCCCCGAGGGTCAATCCACAACCATCCTGTCCGAATGGACTGCCAATAAATAATTTTCTTCCACCACTGAGTCCCATGTCCTTCCTCTATGATGGTCAGAGGGAAATGAAGGTTATGGTTATGGTTAGGGACTTAGGCCGAGGCCTTATGGTTTGGTGATAGGTTATGGTTAGGTTTGGGGAAGGGATCCTGCGCCCCAGTTTCCCAGGGCAACAGTTATGCACGGTCCTGTCTGGAGTCCAACTCCATATCCATAGTCACGTGCACCGCACGCCATCCCTATGATTAGGGCTTTGATGTCCCCAAAATGTCATAATTTTAGGTTTTAAATTTTCACCACTTTGTTTTTGCAGGAGAAGCAGGCCCGGACGGAGAGGAAGACCCGGAGGAGTTCCAGCACCAGGCAGCCAACCTGGAGGACCGCACAGGAGCAGTGACGACGACCACAGGTAAGTATATGCCCTTATAATGACCTTTGTTTAGGTTGTATAATTATTTGCCCTCTGTTTTTCAGGAACTTTCTAAATTGGCACCCCCTCAGACCTGGCCATTTGGACATGGTTCCTAGCATGGCCCCCAACCAATGCTGGACCTAATAAATGGCACTCCCAACAGGTCTGGCATCAGCCCTCTATAAGGCAGGCAAACTCACTGTGGCATCAATCACTAATTCCCGGGGCCCCCCGGAGGCACCTCCCGGTGCCTAAGACCCCCCCCCAAGGTCAATCCACATTCATCCAGAACCATCACATCTCCCATATGGCCAATTTCACCGCCAGTGTCCCAGGTCCTTCCTCCTCGGCGTCCTGAGGGAAATGACGGGTAGCACAGTGCGTAATTGCTGTATATACGGTGTTAACTTGACCATCCCAAAAATGTAAGTATTCATTCATTCATTCATTCATTCATTCATTCATTAATTAATTAATTAATTAATTAATTAAGCCTTAAGGTTAGTGGCCCTTAGGGTTTGGGCCTTAGGGTTAGATCCCTAGGCTAGATTAGCCTTAGGGTCAGTGTTGTTAGGACCCCAGCTGGTTTGCCTAGGGGTCAGGTGTTAGGATTACGGTTAGAGATTGGGAGGGTAATTAGGGTTAGGGACTCAGGCCGAGGCCTTAAGGTTATGGTTAGGGATATGAATTGGGGTTAGGAACCCCAGGGCCTGTGACTCCAGCGTCACAGGGCCACAGAAAGGCACTGGCCAATCCTGGTTACAGTTATGGTTACGGTTATGGTTAGGTTTCTAAGGTTAGGGCAGAGCCCTAACATCCTGCGCCCCAGCGTCCCAGGGCAACGGTTGTGCACTGTCCTATCCGGGCCTGTCCGTGCATCCGCCCACTTGCGCACCACTCGTCATCCCTATGATTGGGGCTTGTCAATTAATTTGTTTTTGCTTTTTTTTGCAGGGGAGATGAAGACGACGACGACGAAGAGTTCCAGGAACCAGGTAGCCAACCCGGAGGATCACCAGGAGGAGCAACGACACAGCCAGGTACAGATCTGGCCATCCAAATTGCGCGCGGGAAGGAAAGTGATCTCGCGTGACACCGGAGAATTTCCCGTGAACACAGAAAATGCATTGACACAGGAAAGACATGATCAGTAGGGGGCAGTCATGTAAC